GATGCGGCAGAATTTAAACACCGCGAGTCTTTCGCTTATCTGGTGATTCTCAAATGATCGATACCTCGTGGAGGTTTTAGTCGGTAAAAATCCGACACTACCTGGGTCTTCCCTTCCAAAAGACTCAGGTGTCTTATCGAAGATTTCCTCCACGTAAAAAAAAAAAAAAAAAAAAAAAAAAAATAATCATTGCCAGAAAAATACACCACGAGCCTGACTCGTTATTCCGCGCGAATCGGTTAATTCAGAATTGCGCCATTGCGGCCATATACCTGTATATGTATGTACCATCTACTTGCGAACGAGGGTCCTTCGATTACCCGGGCCGAAGGAGGTGAAAGAGCAAAGGTTGTTCTCCAATACGCGACAGAACGTCGCCACGATATTGGCGAATCGACGGACGCATGCGTCGTCGCTCGACGACTCGCTGCAATTTTGCGATCTTGTCAACAAACATCTCACTGCACTTTTCCTCGGTGCGCGTGATACGAGTCTGGTCGAGAGATTTATCGATGTCGCGCGAAAGAGATGAACGTTGTTTTCAAAGTGTCGTCGCTTCTAAGTGTTCTACATTCCCGTATGCAAAGTGATTTCTTTTTTTCTTCTTCTTCTAAGATCGTGATTTTGAAAGTTAGCCGAAAGGGAAGGAAACACAAGCTTGAATTTCGTATGAATTTAAATTGCAATTGTATAGATTTGGCGGGAGGGAATTTGAATTGCTGATGAGCTGAGAACACACACGTGTGCACGCAGAATGGACGAGATAGAGGCTTGAGACCGATGAATCGATCGCTGCGACGTTCTCGGAAAGGTAGAGCACGACCTGGATCGAACGAACGAACGAATGGTTTTTACAAATCTGTTTCTTTCTGCATCCGTTTCACTCTGTGATCAGTATTGGCTTCCAACGGATCGACATCGTCCTCAGTCGCCCTCAAAAGATCTATTACACCAGATTTCAAGAGACGTTCGCTTCGATCTGCAGCAGCCAACGAGTGCTCTAGGTAAGCTACTTCGAAAGCTACTCTAAAAGCGAGAGCCACTTTAATTTCAAGAAAAGTCGCCCATCATTTGACAACTTTTACGAAGTGGCGAATGCTCGCGAGTTTCGAGCCAAAAAAGTTAAATTATTATTCTGATGTTAAATTAGTTGAATCGGATATTATTCGTGGCAAGATAGAGAGAGGCGTATCGCAAGTCAGATAAATCTGCCGGTGAAACGGGACAACCGTAGTTTTAAGTTTCGCTGGTTGTCGGACATGTTATCTCCTTCGCTGGCTCCGATATATCGAAAGTCGGGATTGTTCGATAGACAGGCAGAGGGAGGGCACTCGATTGGCTGGTTGCAACAAGCCACGACTAACTTGATATTTATTCTCGCGAACTTGTTGTCGCTTCGCAATCACAGAAATTTCTTCTCTCTTCTCGCCGAGTCGAACGCGTGCCAAACGTGCCATCGATCGTGTTACATAACGGGTGACTTACCTAAGAGTGACTTCACCTGCCCTGATAGATTGCCCACGCCGCGTGATTTTCGCGTTGTCTAATGAAAAGTGAATGCCCTGCCAGTTCCTATTCTAATTCTACCTCTCTTGCTCACTTGCTCGACAAGTCTTGGAACAGCAAGTCTCACAGCTCTTTACAATGTTCACAATGCGCTAATCAGCGATTAGGCTGAAGTGCAAGGCAGAGGCTCCAGGTATACTTCACCTCTGATCGATCGGCAAGTTTTCGCAAGTTCGAGAATTATCTTCACGTGGAAAATAGGCGAGAGTAGCGATAGCGACTGGTAGACGAGAATCAGGATGTTCGACTAACAGATTCTCGTCTCGCGAGTAGATTGTAAGGAAAAGTCTGTGATAACCGGATGCGTCTACCCCCGCTTTAGCCTATCCGCTTCCGGAGAACTTGCCGTGCAGCTTCGAGGGCCGATACGGACGAGTACGGTACTCGATTAGGGCATTGTTGGACGTAACGACCATTTATCGGTTTTCCACCAATATTATTCCATTCACGGTGGCTCCCATTCTTGACCTTAATCGAGATCCTCTCGCCTCCCGTGAGTAGAAATCTAACAACCAATGGCGATATTGCTTTCGCAATGTGATTTCATTCTTCAGGCGCGATTGCGCGAATTTTCGAATTAACCACTCGCTTATTTGTGCTTGTGTGTCAATGCAGGAGAACATTCGGCCGATGCTTTCGAAAGTTTCAAAGGCTTTGATATGAACATTCGTCGTTTCAGTTGCCAATAAGTGTGAAACAGTTCAAGATGTACATCGGTCAAACGGTACATGCTCAGCATGCCCATGGGTCTTCCGGTTCACGGTTACGTTTCCCTGGGCAAACTATATCTGGTCTATACTATACTGGTCACGAAAATCAGAGTCGTTTGCAAAAGAGTTAACCCTGCTTTTCTACAACTTATATTTCCTCCTGTTTTGTACTTTTGTCACATTCATTCCTACAACGAATGCTGCAATCGCTCTTGTTCCTTCATTCTCTTTCTTTCCATTTAATTTGTAGTTACAATTGTGTTAACTTGGACTGGCAACGCTGCACCGGAATTTAGCATTGAAGATTTAAATTTGGTAGAATTTTTCGGAGCCAGCGTATTGCAGTAAGAGAATATCTGGGTCATGCACGTTTAATATTGTACTTAATGTTTATAAATTTTTTTAGATTATTTCCATTTATTTTTCCATTAACTAGACCTTTATTATTTAATTTCTCCATATCTTTATCTTTATGATTAAGATTTTTCTTTCATTTTCATTTTTTAATTATCCTATTAAATTCCTTCATACATTTAGTTCCACATAATTCTACCAAAATTACTAATACATTTTATAATAATTATTGAATTAATTAGATTTATAATTCAACCTTGAACACTATCAATTCGATTAACATCAAATTTAATTTCATTAAAAAGTTTTATAATAAATTGATTAATTATTTTACCATTCTCTATATCTATTCAAAATGTATTATTAATTTCAGAAATTTCAATGTCAATGCACGTGCACATTGGCTCCTTAGATTTCTCCTCTTTCGTCGATTATTCCAAAGGGCGCGTTTATTTTCTCAGGTGGTGGTTTATCATTTCCATGAGAAGAAATTAAGACCACGAGTTCGACTCGTGATACTTATGTTTGTCCCGAAATGTCGATCACGTGTCAGACTCGTAATATTCACGTTTGACATGAAATTAGACAACGAGCCTGACTCGTGATATTCAAGTTTGGCCTAAAATTTTCATCACGAGTCAGGCTCGTCAAAATAGGGCAAGGGGTTAATTCATCGTCAGTTTTCAAGATTGATTCGAGGCAAAAAAGAAGAATATTTGCGTTAAAATTAATCAGACAGCTAAGAAAACGTTTTACGTCGGTAAACACGGCAAACAAAGTACTCTACTTCTTTCTTCTTTTTATTCGAAAGGTCGAGGCCTGCGTAGACGTGAGCGAGTGGTACTGCAGAATGTTTCAGAAGAACTTGAAATTGCGGACAAATATAGTAGTGGGCACGGTACCACTTCAAAATTACGAGACCCGGCAAAAAAACTGTTGACGTGACGGAAGCTTTTTCATTTTGTCCACCGTGTGCCACAGAAGAATACACCAACAACACGTCGCCGTTGAAAAATCAAGAGAGAGAGAGAGAGGAAACTGCGAAACCAAGTTTGTCTTGTACGTACTGCCGTGTTATACTATACACACACACACACACACACACACACACACAAACACATGTTAATTAGCGGTATTTGCGGAAACTACCAGTCGACGACGGGCTTACATTATTCTCCGGTGTTCGAGAGTGTAAATATTCGTGGACAGCTAGAAACCTCCACTGTGCTATCCACCTTGTCTGTCGCAATTAAAAGTTTCGTCAAAATTCCGAGCGAATTTGTTTTTCACACATCGAGTCATCACGGATCTTTAAACGATCTTCAAACGATCGATAGCCGTTTCTCGACTGATCCATTGTCGCGGATTTCCAAACAGCATGAAAACTAAAATTCCCGCAAGATCCTGAATCTTGATTTGAACATTAACTCAGTCCAAGTTCTAGCTTGTAGGAAATCAGAATCCGCAAAAAAGAGCAGATAGAGCAAACCGAAGAGAAAACAATGTCTCTTGCAAGGCAACGCCAAAGAAAACGCGATTCAATTTCCATTGAGAGGGAATATTTATAATCGAGAATCACGATCTCCACTTGAGAAATTGTTACATTCCAATCCTATTCATTATGCGCTAAAAAATACCTCACTGCCAGGTTTATTTACCGAGTAAGTAACTCTTCCAACAGTGCTACGAGAAAAGTCCAATATATCGATCCTCGAAACCGAACAAGGACGATCCTACGGGACGACGATGGAGAGGTCAAACCATACTCGCCTGTGTATCGCGTGTACACGTTCACGAAATCGTCGCAAACGAAGCACCATTAGACGCGTGTTTAATTTTTTAATTAAAAGAGAGAGAGAGAGAGAGAGAGAGAGAAGCTTGCTTAATTATTCGTTCAAAGATTTGATATTCGTTAGCTTTCGGATCGGAAAGAAGGAGAGAAAGAGGAAGAAAATCGTGATGGTCGTCGTTGTAAATAAAAAGTAATCGTCCCTTCCAAATATTTCACGTCGTATTTTAACCCAGCCTGCTCAGAAATGTACGCGTAAATTTCACGTCCAATTTCCTGCTCTATCGATCGATCGGCTTGCCTTCGATTTCCTCCCTTCTCGGTTTCTTCTTTCGCACACGCGAGAAGCGAAGAGCAGGGAAAATTATTAGCACGAAAGGACAAAAAATATTCTTATTCCAGAAATTGTTAGGACGACAGGAATGAGTAAGATATTGAAATCCGTTGGGACCAACGCCGTGCAGCTAATTAAATTCCATAATCATGCGGTCAACTCCCGAGGAAAGTTATTCTATAATAATCGCCCGGACAGTTCTATACCACCGAATTTTTCCCGGAATAATTAAACGTATATTGCTTTAATAACAATAAAAGCAGTCTAGTCTCTTTGTTTTATATTTACATTTTCCTCTCCTTGATAAAATAAGAGCAACATCAAGCGGACTAATATCAATAATATTAATTTTCCTCGGTAGTTGGAAATAGTTTAATAGCTATTTGTTATCGAGGAAAATTTAAAAAGAAAATCCAAGAATTTCTGATTTCTAAAAATTCTAAATTCTAAGTCGACGGAAATAAGATTGTGCATCTGAGGAATAATGTAAATTAGGAGAATCCTACGTACAACGCATCGATATTATAACAAGAAACGAGTTCATTTTACAGACAGGGAGAATTTAATCGAGTACTCACAGTAATAAATCCAATAAATTCCAATGAATAAATATTCGCAATAACAACCAAACGACGTTCTTTCACGTTGAGAATTATTTTCAAAGAATATTCTATCGGCTCGTTCTTTTCATTAAACAAACACACATGTGTATTCTTTCCTTTCATTCATACGGTGTACGCACGTAAACGTAAAATGAGAGAACGCGCAGGAAATTACTGGAAATCGAAAAATGCAGTTGAGACGTCGCACGGAACACATACCGATTATTAAACGGTAGCGGCTAAACCGTTTCGTAATCTTCTCGGCAAACATATGCACAGGCGCACGGTCTCGTTCACGTCACACGTTTGAATTAATGACGTCGTTAATGTGTGATTCGACAATAACGCGCATCGATCGTCGTGCGAATACAATTACAGAGAGTAGCAATGGCGAGTAATCGGTATACATATATATATATCGGTATATATATAT